AAAAAGGAAATAACCATGAACCCCAAAATAATGTCAAGTGAAACTGTATATCAAGAACAAAACCAAAATGAAGACATTATCAAACCAAAACTGAGATAATTCAGTAACAAAACACTATGAATCTTCCTAGGGATGTACTTCAAGGAAAAGGAGAATGATCCCAGAAGGACATTCTGAGAAGCAAAAAGGAATGATGAGAAATATAGGTAAAAACTGTGGACAAATATGAGCAATGTTGCATTTATAAAATATTAATACTAGTGGGCTGGGCACTTTGGGAGGCCAAGGTGAGACAATTTCTTGAGCTCAGGAATTCGAGACTCATTTGGGCAACATAGCAAGACCTCTTCTCTATTACAAATTTTAAAAATTAGTTGGAAGTAGGGGCATGTGCCTGTGGTCCCAGCTACTCAAGAGGCTGAGGTGCGAGGATCACTTGAGCCCAGGAGGTGAAGGCTGCTGTGAGCTGTGATCTCACCACTGCACTCTAGCCTGGGCAACACAGTGAGATCCTGCCAGAAGAAGAAGAAAGACGAAGAAGAAGACAAAGGAGAAGGAGAAGAAGAAAAAGGTCTAATTGAAAGGTCAAAAATGTCCAATATAGAACTAAAATGCTGGAAAAAAAAATAGCCTACAAATTAGGATAAATACATTTGCTATAATGAACACATTCTTCCATGTGCCAGGTCCTGTGCTGAGTATTCTTCAGGTATTATCTCACTTAATCCTTCCAACCATGCTGAGTAACATGCTGTTATTACTCCCATTTTTGAAATGAGAACACACAGGAAGTAGCAGCTGAGATTTAAAGCCAGATCTATCTGCCTTTGGGGGGGTTGTTTGTTTGTTTTTTAGAGAGGGTCTCATTCTGCCACTCAGGCTGGAATGCAGTGATGCAGTCAAAGCTCATTGCAGCCTCAATCTCTCAGGCTCAAGGGATTCTCCCATCTCAGTATCTCAAGTAGCTGGAACTACAGGCACCCACCACCACACCCAGCTAATTTTTTATTTTTGGTAGGACAGTATCTCCCTATGTTGCCCAGGATGGTCTCAACCTCCTGGTCTCAAGCAATCCCAGCCCTGCAAAGTGCTGGGATTACAAGCGTGAGCCACTGCACCTGGCCTCTGACTTTGAATCTACCATCTTAACCACTCTACCACGCTGCTCTCCATGGAAATGTTTGTCATGGAAAATATAGGGGTCAAGACAGGAGGATTGATTGAGGCCAGGAGTTCAAGACCAGCCTGGGCAACATAGCGAGACCTTGTCTCTAAAATAAATTAAAATATAAAATAAAATGAAATGAAATAGAAAACATTGCCAGGCACGGTGGCTCATGCCTGTAATCCTAGCATTTTGGGAGGCCAAGGCAAGAGGATTGCTTGAGCCCAGGAGTTTGAGATCAACCTGGGCAACATGGCAAGACCCTGTCTCTACAAAAAATATATTTTTTAAATTAGTCAAGCATGGTGGTACACGCCTATAGTCCCAGTTACTCAGAGAGGCTGAGGCAGAAGGATTACTTGAGCCCAGGAGATCAAGTCTTCAGTGAGCCATGTTTGTACCACTGCACTCCAACCTGGGGGGCAGAGTAAGAGAAAAAAAGAAAAAAGAAAACAAGGAAAGAAAAAGAAAAAAAAATTGGCAAATATAAAGCCAAGAATTCCCTCACATCATCATAGTCATAAGTATACACACATATAATTTCAAAAAAGACTGGAATCATAACTATCTACTGTTCTGAATCTCACTTAATATTATCAGCTAATACAATATTCTGAATATAATCGTCCTGCTCTTAATTATCCTTTAGGAAGACATTTCAATGACTGCATTCTTGGCATCTTTTAACTGCCTTCTACAATGTTCACTGTTAATTTTTGTTAAAAGTGAAGATGATCTGTTAAGAATTTTTTGTTTTCTCAAACATGAAATGTATTAGGAGATGCCTATGTATGGATGTATATTATATTGCTGGGTATACATATTTCTGTTTTAGAGATCTCCATTTGCAAATAAACATCTGGGTCACATGTTTACAAAATTTGTGCTTCAAAGCAGATTCAGGATACAGCATGTGAATTTTCAAAACAGAAATTAGGCTAGGCACAGGCTCACGTCTATAATCTTAGCACTTTGGGAGGCTGAGATGGGTGGATCACTTGAGGTCAGGAGTTCGAGACCAGCCTGGCCAACATGGTGAAACTCCGACTCTTTTAAAAATACAAAAATTAGTCGGGCTTGGTGGTGAGCACCTGTAGTCCCAACTGCTCGAGAGGCTGAGGCAGGAGAATGGCTTGAACCTGGGAGGCAGAGGTTGCAGTGAGCCAGAATCATACCACTGCACTCCAGCCTGGGTGACAGAGTGAGACTCTATCTCAAATAAATAAATAAATAAATAAATAAATAAATAGAATTTAAAAACAGAAATTAGAGGATTTTTCTTTTTCTTTTCTATTTTCTTTTTTCTTTTTCTTTTTTTTTTTTTTTTTGAGATGGAGTCTTGCTCTCACTCGCCAGGCTGGAGTGCAGTGGCGCGATCTCGTCTCACTGCAATCTCTGCCTCCCAGATTCAAGCAATTCCCCTGCCTCAGCCTCCCGAGCAGCTGGGACTACATGCGCGTATCACCACACCTGGCTAATTTTTTTTTTTTTTTTTTTTTGTATTGTAGTAGCGATGGGGTTTCACCATGTTGACCAGCATGGTCTTGATCTCCTGACCTTGTGATCTGCCTGCCTCAGCCTCCCAAAGTGCTGGGATTACAGGCATGATTTTTCTTAACAAAAAGGTTTTTCTGCTTTATGAAGAAATTTTCTTGTGTGTTTTATTTTACATAAACCATTTCCCTAGAATATGGAAATATCACTTGCTTTGTGAAAATTGGATGCATATTAAACTTTTCAGAAATGAATTTATGACTTTTTAAAAGGATGCATTTGTATGTACATATTTCAGTCTCAACCCAGAGATTAACATAATCATATTATCATAATGTGTATAGTAAAATCTCATTAATTCAAACATGCCACTGATTTTTAACTTTTAATAGCTCAAATACGGAATATATAATTGATCATAGGAGAAACCAGTATGAGGCATGTGTAATTTTTTTTTTTTTGTACAATCTTCTTATGCCTTGGATGCAAGCTCATTAACTTGTTTCATTTTACCTTTTAGCATCTATTTGTGGTGTGATTAGTATGATATGTCTGTAACCAAAAGTAACAAGACAGAGGTCAGGCAATGACTCACACCCGTAATTGCTGTACTGGAAGAGGCCAAAGTGGGCAGATCACTTGAGGCCAGGAGTTTGAGACCAGCCTGGCCAAAATGGTGAAACCCTATCTCTATTGAAAATACAAAAATTAGCCAGGTGTGGTGGCTCACACGTGTATTCCCAGCTACTCAGGAAGCTGAGACTGGAGAATCACCTGAACCCGGAAGGCGGAGGTTGCCGTGAGCAAAGATGGTGCCCCTGCACTCCAGCCTGGGCAACAGAGTGAAGCTGTGTCTCAACAAACAAACAACAACAACAAAACCAAAACAAAAGGAACCAGGTGGCATGTGGACATTTAAATATTTCATAAATATGCCTAGTCTCATCTACACTTCCTCTTTTCTCCATAGGAACCAACCGAAATCATGAGTGAAATTTCATAACCATCATGGCCTGATGATGCAAGATTGTACTTGAAACAGTTCTTGAATTTCTGTGCATGAGATCATCTATAGCCAAGTATTATTCCCACGAAGTCTCACCTCTGTTTCACACATCTTTATGGGCTTTTCCTCACTCCTACCTGGAGCCAGCTAGTGCTCTGTCGGTGCAAAATAACTGTTTAAATAGTATCTTAAGGAAAATAAATAGAGAAAAGGAAATAAGCCGAAGAGAATGTATTCATTCTAAACCCAGGTATTAACTCACTGGTAGGGAAGGGTGAGCGACGCAGTCCCTCGCCTGTGATAGCCACTGACCCCACTCAGGCTCGCGCGGTCCCTCTTCCATTCCCCCAAATCACAGACATCTTACTCCTGCCCAACCACCCTCGTGAATCTCTTTGAATCTGTGATTTAAAACAGGCATTCATGGACATTCTTCTTAGAAGGCCTAGTGCTAAGTCGCAGTTGTCAAGGGAACCGCGTGTCTGGAGAGAGAACCGGCTCTCCGGAGTTTCCAGGGAAACCATCCCCCGTAGAGGCAGGTGTGGCTGGCTGGGCCTAGCGGGGAAGGGCTCTCTGGGCGGAGCCGGGGCACTAGGGGCCTGGGACGAGGCCGCCGGGCTGCCGTGAGCTCGGGATCAGTCTCTCACACATAAATATATATATGCTATAAAATACTAATTTCGGTGGAATACTTTACTTCGATATTCCACTTGCAAAACAGAACCACTGATTCCTTCCAGCTTGACAAGATTGAGTCGCTTTTGAGGAGCTGCCCGTGCTTTGGAAATGGTCCAAATCAACGAGGAACTGCCAAGGAGCCCCCTCAGACAGTAAGGTTCTGTTGGCCAGGGTCCTGGGGACAGACACAAGCGTTGGTGCGCGCGACTGAAACGGGAGCAGAGCAGTTGAATGAGCTTCTTATGCTTTGCATGGTGCGCAGAATATCCCATCGATACCCAGAAACCCAGTAGAAATAGGGATGAGTGTTGCTGCGAAAGCGCCTTCTGCATTTGAAATGCAGGTTGGGTTACCTGGAAAGGCGCCTGCCTCTTGTTTTGTCTCAGAAATACTGTTGGGAAAAGGATCTGATTTCTGTTCGGAGTAAAGAAAGAGGTTTGTGGAGAATTCCTAGGTCAGGGCTGGCATTTGCACCTTTTCCTGGTCGTTCCCTGCACAGTCATTCCAGCGGCGGCGTCGCTGGGGCTGAGGCCGGGTAACTGCGGCTGGGCATGCGGATTTAGTCCCCCGCCTGTCATCTTTGTGGCTCCTTGTGGGGGAGGGGCGGGCTGTCTCACACAGTTATTAAACTTGGCAGCTGCGCTGGCGGCACTGAGGAGCATTTTGAGTGAACTTGCAGAAAATGAGGGGCTTTCAGCTGGTCGCCTGCTTCTTACCCCTCGCTTGTCTGAAAGGCAGCTCTCAGAGCGCTTTCCCGTCCTTCTAATTACAGTGGCGGGGGCAGTGCGTGCTTCGGGACACAATTGGAAACGTGAGTATCTGCGGCCCCCGCGCTGCTGGCAGGCGGCTGGGCGCTTAAAGCTTCCAGACCGGTGGTGGAGACAGAAAGGCAGGGATAGGAGAGGCGGGCGCGCGTGCGGCGGGGCTACGGAAGGGCCCCGAGAAGCGCGTCGCCACGCCTCGTCTGGAGGTGGTGCTCACTGGCAAGGAGGCGACAGCCCGAAGGCTGCAGACGTGGGCGTGAGTGCAGGGTTGCCAGCATCGGGCTTGGAACGGCCCTGTGCTTTGGGGATCCACACACAAAGGAAAGAACCTTGGGCCTAGACAGCCAGGGCAGGCAGCCCTGCCCCGCCCCTGATCTTTCCGGCCCTTTTTGAAAATGGAGAGAAGGCGCGTTTTATGGTTGGCTCGAAACAACGAGATGAGGCCAGTGTTCCAGCCCGTGAGGACCTTTGTGCGCTGCGCAGTGGCGGCTGCGGCTGGTCCTGCAGGGACACGGGCGTGGCGGCGTCTCAGGGAGCAGCGCGCATCGCAGAGTCCGGGCCCGGGAGGGGGCGCGTCCGGGTTCCTTTGAGATCTCAGCGCCTTTGGGATTTCAGAGCCTTGCGGGCCTCAGTGTCTCGCGGCGCCCAGAACTCGTTTCTTCCTTCTCTTAGCACAATGTGCTTAGCAGGGCAAACATGAAGTGACAAGACTTCAATTCCCTCCTTTCTCCCCAAAATATGAGTGTGAGTGGGTGTGGGTTTTTTTTTCCCCCCCCCCTTACTATCGATTGCTAGAAGGAATCTTGAAGTTCAACTCAGTTTTATATTTAATTCCAGACAAGGTTTTAATTTTACGGAGCTGGCATCATGCAAGGGTGTCTCTGTGGTTTATATATTTCTTAAAGAACCTTGGCCCTTCCCTAAAGGTTCCGAGGAGCGGTTCACAGAGTCACGTGGTTTCAGAACGTCCTGTTTAATGTTTCAAGTGCATTTCTGTGTTGATTTGGCGCAGGCCCAAATATGTGATACAGAGGCAGGCTCTTCTCTTATGGGACCTGAAGTCTAACTACTGCAGTCTCTGAGGCTCAGGTTTCTTGATGTGGTGTCTGGCCTCCACGGTCAAGGGCTGATGGCCAATGGAAGACCTCACCTTCCCCAGAAGGGCTTACCAGAGCCAGGACCCTGCGTTGGGAGTGTGAGCAATGAACGGTGAACAAGCTATTTAAACTTTCCAGGTCTCCCTTTCCTCATCCATATAATGGGTGTAACAGGGTAATATCTATCCATCAAAGTAATATCTAACTCCTAGCCTAATAGATACGCTATGATTTCTGCATGTCTTCCAATTCATCTCCCACCAAGCAGCTTTTCTTTTAACCTGACATTTGAGGATTGGCTTAATGAGAGCAAGTAGAAAAGACAGAAAGACTACAAAGGGAAAAATTAAAATATAACAATCCTCAGAAAAGTAGTAATCAGTATAGCTTAGAATTTGCCTAAAAATACACTAACCAATTGCTTGTACACATATGGTGTGCATATGGACACATATGGTCTCTTTAATTTTGTTTATCAGGTCATGACCCTGGGGAAAGATTGATGTCTGTCTGCCTCAAAAATAATGCTTGACATTTGGTGCTTAAATTTGCCCCAAATTGGCCGGGCATGGTGGCTCACGCCTGTAATCCCAGCACTTTGGAAGACCGAGGCAGGCGGATCACCTGAGGTCAGGAGTTCAGTACCAGCCTGGCCAACGTGGTGAAACTCCATCTCTACTAAAAATACAAAAAATAGCTGGGTGTGATGGTGGGCGCCTGTAATCCCAACTACTAGGGAGGCTGAGGCAGGAGAACTGTTTGAACCCAGGAGGCAGAGGTTGCAGTGAGCCGAGATCACACCATTGTACTCCAGCCTGGGCGACAGGGTGAGACTCTGTCTCAAAAAAAAAAAAAAAGAAAAAGAAAAAGAAAAAATTTGCCCCAAATTTTGGTTTTCCATCTTGAAGTGGGGTTTCTCAGATTTTTGCACATGAGTTTCTTGTTAATAAAAACCAGATGATGATTAAGTAGAAATGTTAAAAGAAATAAATGTGATTCTGAAATATTACATATGACATATCGAAACTAGAAATAAATACTTCTACTGAATTCTACTCTAGTAAAATAATGGTTAGGGTATTGTTCCTAATTTTGTCCACTGTACTTTAAAAAGAATATGCAGAAATTGGAGGAAAGGGGTTCAGAATGGGGAAATCAAATAATGAGGCAGAAAGAGGAGAGACTAAAAGAACCCAGGCTGTTTCAGGGAGAGAAGGTGGAGTGGCTGGCGACTTCGTTACTGTCAAATGTGTGAGGGGCTGAGAAGGATGGAGTAAGAGAAAATCAGATTTTGATTGGATATAATGAAAAACTTACAAAATGGCAAAAAAGTAAAATTAACCACCAAGAAGCATCTAAAAGAGAACAATTTATCATCTGCCTTTCATGGCCCCAGACCAGCTATTCTTTACCCTAGCTTCAGGCTGGAATCACCTGGGGACTTAAAAACTCCTCTGAGCCTGGATCCTTCCCCGGACTCCAAGATTCTGACTTAACTGGTCTGAGCCCAGGTATGGATATGTTCTAGGAGCTCCCCAGGCAAAACACTAGGTAGAGAAACATTGGTCCATGCCTAAGAGGACAAAGTCTACCACTGCAGGGCCAGGCAGGGAGCATAGATGTCCGAGGAGGGCCAGGACCTGCTGGGGTTCACTTGGTTTACTTGTGAGCCATGCTCAATGTCAGCCAGCTTTGCCAGATCTTCTGATTTGCCAAGGGAAGCTGGAATTTTTGATTTTTAAATTTGTGAATATGACATCTCCAGATCTTTAGAGGTTGACAACTAATTAAGGGTAAAACCTTTAAAAATGTTTCGTGCTTGCTAAGCAAAACACCCCAGCCAAAGCTGGTCCCCCGTCCAGATAGGCAACCACAACCAGAGTTTTGCCTTCTTTGTAGGTAACAGGTGTGAGTGGGAGCTCTCCCAGGGCCTCCTGTAGCCTCTGTTGTATGATTTGATGCTTTCTTTTAACCTGAAGACACATCTCTTGGCCTCAGTCTTTCTAAAGGCATGTCATGTCTTCCTGGCCGAGTGTCTACCCCTCCATAGATCTCTCTGGATTGTTTGAATAAAGGAACGTTTCTAGTTCCCTAATCTTCCCCTGGCTGTAAATTAATGAGGCTGCCCCCTGGAGATTCTGAGATAGTGATAATTCTAACCATTCTTAACCACGCTTTCCACCTCCCCCACATCTGCCACTCACAGCTCCCTTGCTCCCTCCACTGGTGGTGGAGATGGGGTGAATGGGGTTCAGGAGGCCTGGGAAGTGTCCTGAAGCTGCCTCCTGGTGCTCCATCTTTTGCAGGGGAGAGGAGGAATATGGATTGACCGTACATATAAGCTTATAAGCAGCACCAATGTTGAAGTATGACTCTTACAAATGAGATTCCAAAAATCCCAGTTCATTCATCTCTTGAATTTCCCTCTAGCCTTCTCTAAGCCACACAAGCCATGGAGTATAGTATGTCTCCATGACCAAAGAGGAGCACTCTACACCTCTCTGCACAGACAAGAATATCTTGACCAGAGGTAAAACAAATCCAGCCGGACTAGCACTGAGAGTTGGCTGGATTCTCCCTGCCTCTCCCCTGTGGGTTGGGACTGTTGTACTTTGGATGGTGGGGCCAGTTGGTGAAGTACAGGAAGGCAGATCACCTGCCTCTCTAGCGTTCCCCGCCCCTGCCTGTCCACCCTGGTGTAGTGCGAAGACGAGGGTGACACCTCTCTTCCTTCCCAATCATGAGGCACTGAGAACCTTCCAGGATGGCACAGAGACCTGTGTGTGCAAGGTGGCAGAGATGTGGTGCAGAGGAGATGCGCACTTACTCCAGCGCTGATACACAGAAGGCAGCTTTGTTCAAAACAGCATTGTTCAGCAAGGTTGCGCTGTATATAAATGAAATCAGCATCCTTAAGCAGCCGCCTGTTTTCAGTTCCCACAGGCTAAGCAGGCAAAACCAGAGTGACTATGAGCAGGTGTCAGGTACCTCTCCAAAGGTCACACACACAAAAAAATCCCAAAGCCATGGCCATGCTGTCTCCAGTTCTTTTGCCAGCCTCTTGGTTCTCCAAAGTCAAATCTTTGACTTGTAGTCCAAAGATTTCACTATCAGTGAGAAGGGAAGGGGAGTTTGTGAAGTTAGAATGTGTAAATGGCCCAAGGAAAAGGAAAGGAAGTAAGATCCAGGTGTTTGGCTGGATTCTGGTTGTCAAACACAGAAATATATTTATTGGAGGAGCAGAAGCCACATCAGCCCCAATATTGAGCTGCCAAAACCATAGGCTGGGGCTGAGATGCTCTACCCTGGCATAATCTCTGTCCCTCTCTCGGTGACTGCCTGAAAAAAGTGGTTGATTCTTTTCCTGGAATCATAGATTAGCACATTCCACCACATTAGCCTTTGCCCCCAGCTAGACCAGATACCGAGGACCAGGGGATGTATAGTGGGGTGCTCTGAGGCCCATGTAACAGTCTCACAGTGCCTCACTTCGAGCCACTAAGCAGCCTCACAGCTGTGCCCCAAAATGGGCTGCACACAGGGTTCTTCCTACATGCTCCTTTCAGGCATGGGACCAACCTTGGGGATCAGTATTCCTGTCCTCCTGTCCAGGGTTAAATAGCATCCACTGCTTTGCATTGGCACCTGGAATGTCAGGCTCTACCTATTTCTGGCTTGATAATGTTAGGTTCCCTATAGAGAATTTTGGCTGATGAGCTTGTCAGCCAGGGTTTACACAATCAGTTTGTGTTTTTTCTTGAGGTAGTTTATCCGGTTGCTTCTCTATTCTAGAGCTTTCCTGTTGGCTCTTTCTTTCTGACAAATTTACGACTTAACAGAAGATCTACTTAAGTGTGTCCAGGGACAGAGAGAAAAGGTAAAACCCCAATCTGTTGCTTTGAACCTTGTGGTGGTGGTAGCAGAAAAATCAATGAAAGGGAAATTTCATA